GCTTACTCACAAGCTTAGGGAAGGAGATTCCTGTGATACCAAAAACCAAAGAAGGATGAGAAATGTCTCTCTTGCACACTATGCTCGGTGGAGATTTACCCAAACCTTCTCCAGAACACTATTGCAACCAAGACAGACGTGTTAAAAAGAAAAATTTATGAGTCAAAAGAAGACAAGGTAAATCTACTTGAGTTAAGCTCGGAGCCTTGGAAAGTGGTGGAAAAGGAGTTACTTCCTCTGATTGCTGGGGGAGACTGTCATGGCTTATCGAGGAAGGAGAAACAGTGCTCGAACCTTCAACAGAGACCTACAAATAAAAAAAGTAGGGATAAAGTCAGTAATTAACTTATGAAGAAGAAAAGCAGAAAGTCTAAGTAATGATATACCTTAGGGAGGACCTGAGGATGGGAAGCAGGCACTTCAGAGGCTTTGGGTACATCAGTATAAGTTGCCTAAGAAGCCTACGGTTTAGTTACTTCTGAAACCACAGGAAACTCAAGAACTATAGGTTCCCTGAAGGTGGAAACAGGTGTTTAATGGAATTCCTGAGATAGGCAAGGCTAGAAGAAATAGAGGATAAATAATATAAAGAGAAGGGAGTCTCAGCACAAAAGTAGTAAGGGGAGTACTTACCAAGTTGTTGTCATCCTCCACGAAATGCATCATCTTTCCAGTAAAAGGATCGAATTGAGAAGTAGGAGTCACCACAAAGGGAATGGATTTTGCTTGAGAGGGAGGAGTTTGCCTTAACCGAGTTAATGGAGAAAAAGTCTTAGACGATAAGATCTTTTCTGCCCGCATCTCCTATTTCATACAATCAGAAAAGTAAGAAAAGGAAGGAAAGTTTGGAAAATAAGGAAACAGACCATACCTCTAATTCTTTAAAGGTAGCATCTCGATGCTCTCTAGCCCTCCGTTGCATTTCTACGACCAATGGTTCATCCAATGAAACAGTTATGGGTTTCTTGGTTGCTCGTGGTCCTATATTCAAAGAAAATGAAGTTATTAGCCCAAACATATAGAATACAAGTCAGGGCGGAAGTCAGACATATGATTCACTTACTAGAAGCTGTTTGTTTCTTCATTCCTGGTACAGGTGTAACAGCAATGAAAGCAGTGGAGGTTTTCGAAATGTTGGAAGTCTGAGCTCGTGTATTCTTCCTGGTTGGAGCTACCCACTTGGGCTCAGGCTGTTTTTCAGACTCAGAATCAAAAGTCTCCACCACAATTGTCTGCGCCTGCTTTGGTGCCTGAGTTTTTACCTTGGGCTTGACCTCACCCTATGAATCTCCAAATAACTCAGAGGTGTCTCCACCTTCTTCAACATCTGGCCTCTTAGCCTCAACTACAACTTCATGAAGAATAAGAATGTCGATAGTTTCTTCATCTGAACCAATGCTTGTTATCTCAGCATTCCCTTGAGCTGCAAGTTTAAGGAATGAACAAAGGATCAAAAAGAGAATAGAGTATTGAGGTTAGAAATAAAATACAAATTAAAGGAATATGAAGTACCTATCAGAAGAAGCTGGTTCTTTTGATTGATCATTTCCTTCCAATTCTCAAGCTCACCCGAGCTAGGATAAGATTTGAGGGAGAGTTGGCTGAAGAGACGATCATGTGTTTCCCACAGATCTCCTCCATATTTCTTGACCCACTTAGTCTCCCACAAGATGGAGAAACTAGATGTGCATTCAAAGTTTAGGGCTAAAGACTTTTGGGCAACCTTGCTCATAACCTCAAGGCTACGCCGGGCAGCTAGGAAAGTGACTTTTTCAGGAGAATAAAGGCGGTAAAAGGTGCCACAATGAAAAGATTTAAAGAATGGGATTGGGATGGTCTACTTGAAGCCTAATTGCCTACTGCAGAAGTTAGGATGATAAACCTCCAGCCCACGTTCATAACGATAACTGCGAACTCCTCAGACTAAGTCGCGTGGTTGAATGCAGCTAATAAATTTCTCTTTGCAAAAAGGATTAGCATCTTCTCCAAAGGCATCTTGGAAAGCTTGATCAGAAAACAAGGGATACCTTCTAAGAACAAATGTTCCCCACTCCAAGTCTGCATGAGTCTTGTAAACTCTGAAGAAATAAAAGTAGGCAAATATGGAATGGTCGGTAAGAAGAGCTTCAACCAGAATTAGAGCATGGGCCACACCTTCTGGGAACTCCAGGTTAGCTGCCTGAAACTCTGAGAAATACCATTGTGACCATAATTGGACCATCCAGATTGGTCCGTTGAGGTTGGTCTCAAATGGTTCACCCTGAGTCATCTAAAAAATGAGATGGTAGAGATGAGAAATAAGGAAAAGGATTATGGAGAGCTTCTACTATAGGAATCCATTCAACCTTCACTCCCTTAGATTTGTTTGGGAAGACGTGCTTGTTAAGCCAATACAAGAGAAAGTATATGTGTTCTTGATCTAAGTTAGCATCAGAGGAGTCTGTACCATAACTCTTCTTCACAAAAGGGATGAAACCCTTGAAGGAGGTCCCCTAACTCTTAAAAGTTGCAAAGTTGTATTTTAGGTGAAGTAGGGAATTTGAAGTGCCCAAACTCTCAGCAGTCAGGAGAGAAGGTGGAGCCCAGTCATGAGTCACATCCACGATTCTGCCCAATGGTCTTAGCCCAAAGACTTGCGCCATATCTAGGATTGTTAGAGACATAAGGCCCATCCTGAAATCAAAGGTGTTGGTGCCCAAGTTCCACAAAAGGAGAGCAGTGGTCAGTAGCTCGGGCTTAGCAACCATAGAGATCTTTGAGAGCATGATCAGTTCATAGATGCCATTCATCATCCATTTCTTTTTTAAAATAAGCTCGAGCGCATTTATCCACTTAACCCAGACATCATCATTCATCAGAGGAAAGCCGCAGCGATGGTATGACCACTTAGAAGAAGAGATGCCCGACTTGGCCATAAATGGGTTTGGAGTAAACCAATTGGCCTTAGGCATATTGGTCTCTATTGTAATTGGAATTTGAGAGGTCCATGCAGGTCCTAGTAAGTGTACTCTTCCTTCTTCAAAGAAAAGTTCAGAATGCAAGCCTGCTAGAGGGCGATAAAGGTTGTTGAGCAAAGGGCACAGGGTGGTAATGCCCTCGCCAGATTTATAAGAAGATCGAGATTGAATGATTGATTAAACTTGGGAAGTTTTTGGGGCTATTGATTGAGCTTAAAGAGAAAAGGGATAAGAAGAATTTAGTCAAAAGGAATGAGGAAGCCAATAACAAAAGGTTTGTTTGGAATTCTGGGAAGTTTTGAGAATTTGAAGGTTTGAAATTGCTTAAAGGGATTAGGAAAGGATTATGTGATAAGCAATTGATTAGTAACAAGAGATCATGGGATAATGCAAAGGTCTCAGAAAAACAACGACTGCATTAAAACGGCACAAGTCCCGAGTAAAGGTGTGCAATGGTGGTTACTGAGAAGCAACTGTTCAATCATTATTAGCACCTCGGATTGCAGGCTTAACAACGATTGAAGGATGCACTGTTTGGGTTAATATTTAACTTTGGACTTGAAGGAAGAAAGCCCAAAAGAGCTCAATGAAGGAGATTTTGCCCGAGGCCCAGAGTCAAGCCCAGATACCCATCTCGAGACAATATGATGACTCCTTATTTAATGCAAAGGCTAGGTGCTTACAAGAGAAGTGACAACCGATGGAAATCCACCTACTCTAGCCCAAAAGCACTTTCTGAATAGCAGAACATGTAAAAATGTTGATGACTCACTACCCTTCAGTTGCTTTCGGGCAAGAGCAGAAACTGTACAGTTGGGTTAATTCACCTATAAAAGGAGGAAAAAGGCCCAGAGACAAGGACACTCAACCAATCAAACAAACAAACATACAACTTGCCTCTCAGTCAAGCAAATACCCAGAAATATGTGCTTTGTCAAGATTCTATACCCTTTTAGCCTTAGGCTCCCCGTAAAAAGACATATTTTGTCTAGTGTAAAAGCTCTGCTACATTTCCTAAATGTTGTAGTATCGATTCTCTTGTATAAACTTGTTCACAACTCATCCTGCTTTAGTACTTAACCCCCTGTAACTACAAACAGAAGAGACAGCAAGACGTTTAAACCTTGCCCGATGAGGTGAAATCTTGCCCAACTTTCTTTGTTTTGTCTTTAAGTTAATAGATCTGGTGTTATGATGTATTCCCCAGTATATATTCAAGTCATTTCCAGTCTGTTGATGAACCAAAGTTCCATCAGTTCTCATATATGGTTCATTTAGTGTTTTTACTGTCATAAGAAGACTATATGTGAATTAAACTGATGACTTGATCAGATCTGGACCTACACCCTTTAAGCATACAAGATAACCAACTAAAAGTCCTTGATCTCAGGGCATAGAAAAGAACTTAATGTAGACTTAACTCATCTACGACAATCCTTTGATAACAAGAAGTCAGAATAACTTGGGGCGCAAGTAATCGACTTAAATACATTTGTTCGACATCTGCCATACTGAGATGGCAATGGCACGCCTAAACACTTAGTTTTGTTTGTGAATCTCAAGGCCTACACCTAAGGCCCCACAAATGCACCTTTCAGAACTAACTTTGTCCTCTTGCAGCATCTCAACAAGCAGGAGCCAGACAACCAACAAAGGTGCCAACTCCTCGGAGATCTATGTGCTCGAGCCAGGGACCCCTCCCAAAGAGATTTCCTGCCTGAACAGTGTTGTCGTGCAACTTGCTCAATTGCATTAGCTTCTTTTCGTGACATATTCAGGGGTGGTACTCCAGGCAGCGGAGAGACCTAGTGAACTGCACCATCAGTATCAAAATTGTTTTTCATCAATTGGATTAAGCATTTACCCCTAATTAAAATTTTAAATCTGATTTTGTTCTGATGGTATTAAAATTTTAAATCTGATTGGGAGGTTGGTTAGCCACTTACGTTTATAGTTTGCCAAATTGATGTGATGCCCAGCTTACTTGGTATGAATTAAGTGATGAATTGAATAAATCAATCAACTAACCATGTGATTGTATAATGTGAGAATGACATCTTTCTTTATTTTCGTGCGTTACTAAACACATGGAAACTCGGAATTAAAATAATTCCAATATCCTTGTATTTACCAACACATTTGGAGTTAGGAACGGGAATAATTCTAATACCCATTCCAATTCATTCCAAGTAAACACGTCATAAGAATAACCAATAAGCTAATGGCCTCCGACACTCACCCGCACAAACCCTAGACTACTCATGTATTGTTCCCATGGTAAGTTAGGTACATAGAATCAAATAATGAACATGCATCACAACATCATAGTTCCGTATACATTGTGGTTACAACGTGACGGACATTTATCTTCAAAAGGGCCATAAGTCTCCCCATATGGACTTTCGGGCCTGCAGATGTAATGTAGGGTTCTTACTCTTTGTGACAACCACTCTCTGAAGCTCGCCTTCTGAACCATCTAGTTTGGTTGATCGACAAACATCCATTGTAACCTGCTTGCCCCTTCGTACAGGCATATAGATAATCCTACCCCAACCACCACCAAGATCAGCATGACCTGTTTCATCTTCCTCATCTTCGTTATTTTCATCCACTAAATCAGGTTCCATAACATCGGAATCATAGTTAACTGGATTCAATTCTTCAAATGGAACGAGGTCAACTTGCTGCGAGTTAATTAACTCATCTGTCCAGGTCAAACACAAATTCTTAGAACCCAAGAAATAAGAGTTAACAAATGGCCAGAATGTTAGTATTAATCGAATACATTACATAATATATTGAAGACAAAGTTCATTATATGGGGGCCTCTCAAGATGCTTGTAGTGAAGGATGGTCATTTAAGACTTACCAATGTCAATTTCAAGATCTTCTGTACTGCGTTTAGCATGTTGCTCCTTTAAAGTCTCAAATTTCATACCATCAAGCGGCCAAGGTTCCCTAATCACATTAACCAGTGCAGGCATAAGAGAAGAATTCACAACACGAGTATATTTATGAATAAAAAGAACCGAACTGTGAAGGAAGTACATATTTGGACCAGAAATCTTTTATTTAGAAAGTTATTGACTGGCTTCATTCAAAATGTTTATGATTGCGATCACTTAATTAAGGTAATTGCCAGTTAGTTGTGTTTAATAAGAAAGACACTCAATTAGCCAAAACAAAACCACATGATGACAGATTAAACCCAATTAAAAATTGACTAAACCACTGAATAGCTTTATGAGAATGGACTTTTAGGCTTCCATTGTCTAAGAAGAATACTAAAGCTCCCACAATCCACAATTTTGAACAAAAACACACAAAAAAAATACTAACCGTGGTCTTTGTCCCCGCCTGAAAGCAACGAAGCTAAATTTCTCATCTTCAAAGCCACGTAATGGTTGGCCACCCTTGGACCGCTACAAAAATATCAAGGTAGGTAATATCAATTAAAAAGCACGTACTTTAATCATAATGTAACAGGAAAGGAAAAAGGAAAAAGTTATGGTTCCAACTGACTACTGGATCCAATGAAGTGTGGATGGATTTAAGGATCAACCTTGAATGCACGCTGAACAGATGTCCTCTCCAAGCGCTGAACAAAATGACAGTACTTTCCAGCTTTCTCCAGCGGACATTGTCCATCATGAGAGCACTACATCAAAAAAAAAGTATAAAATAAAATGAGAGAATTCACACTATTAGGGAAAACAAAAGAGAAACTGGGCAACATATTAGTTTCGAAACAGAAAAATATGAGCTAAAGGGCTCTTGTACTCACCGGCGCAACTATAAATGCACCACTCTTTTGAGTCACCAAGTCCTTGGAAGCTTCATCAGTTCCATCTTTAGATTTCCGGCATTTCTAAGAAGTGATGAGTGTGTCAATTATGAATGATTGTAAAGACGTAATGCCAGTACATAACTTGAACAAGCATGTTAACTCAAAAGTCATCTCAAAGAACAAATAACAAGAAAAACAACTTACCCTTTTTTCCATCCATAATATATGCGAGCGCATCTGAGATATGATACTAGATCCTTGTGGTGTTCCAGGTTCAATCAAAACCTAGGAAAATTTTAAGAAAATCAAAGGGTAAAAATATTAGGCTGAAAATTGGAAAGTTCCAAACTAAAAACTGCCATGATAATGATTATAAAAGGGATAGTGATACAATTATCAGTAATTCTTTCTTTAGCCCCTTTACAAAATCGATTGTCAGAAGAGCATAAACTACCTAATGCTTGCCTCTTAGTTAATGGCATAAACCAGGGCATAAGATCATACAAAATTGTTTTGTCATGAAATCATAGTGAAACACAAAACTCATCCGTCCGGAGAAGGAAAGCATACCAGGACATCCTGTGTAAGATCCCAGAGCTGGCGTACTATAGTAATTCGATCCTTGAGTGATGGTATCTCTCCAAGCACATAGGACTTCCGTTGCAAAAAAGAACAAACAGAAGTTATTGTTTGTACCCAACATTCCAAGGCAAACTTGAAGGTTGAAATTTATAGAACTTACAGCAATTACAAGGTCATGTTCTCTCTCTGACTTGTTGATACTTTTAGTCAACGACTGGAGGCTATCATAACTATGAATAAGTGGCAAGTTCTTCTGACCTGAAATAACCATGACATAAAGACATCAGATTTTTCACTGAGCTCTATGACACTCTTTGATAATGCATGAAACATTGTAATCGGCAGGTTTTAGTAGATTGGTTCTTTAACAACTGCAGCTCTACCAGTTATAGACAATTTATCTTTGAAATAATTATTATACAAATAATCTTGACAAAATAATATTGATTGAACAGTTTGAGCATTCAAATCATTAAGAACCTTGTATAAGCTTCTGCCCTGCCCGCTGCATTGATTGGGATGGCTCCACTAAATTAACTTTCTCCAAGGAATTCGGCCAGACTTCTTGTAGTGCCCTATAGCATTCAAGTCACATTACAACCAAATTCACAGTTTCACATTGTTAACAACAAAAAGATAACACCGAATGAGCTTTTCACCAGAAAGCTGAACCCGTGCCAGCACCAAAATCCAATACTTTAGCTGGAGAGAACTCAGGTAGCCTTCTTCGAACCTGTAAAGCAGCAAATACAGAAATTTCGCCAGAATTATTACACAGAAAAACCAAAACTTCAGAACAACCCTAATCAAATTCAAGCTAAGAACCTAAAAATACACAATACCGTATCAAATTCAAGCTAAGAAGCTCATTTCTAGCAAAAATTGAAAATAAATTTCTCTCCTTTCCACCATTTTCTCAGCTAGCAACCAAATACAGGACCAATAAGCATAATTTGAAACTATAGAAAACTATCCAGATACAAAAATTCCCCAATTCATACCTCCTTGAGCACTCTGTGACAGGCAGAGAAGACAGCAGGCATTCTGGAAGCAACATAAGCAACGGTCTCATCGTCTCTGTAGCTGAGGCCGATGTCACCGTATGAGCTCTTGATCTTCCACCGCTGGGATTGGTCCACAGACCGCAAAGGGTCCTCAACGAGTTGCTGCGAAGTCGCCGTAACAAGCTGCGAGTTCACATCCTTGATTTGGCTAAAGGATTCCGATAGCCTCAGGACCTTCCTCTTCATGTGGGGCTCATCCTGCTCTAAAATCCCAAAACCCATAAATTAAATTTGCACAATTTACATAGATAATAGAGATGTACAGTTATACCTCGGAGGTATTTTTTTATGGCGCGGCGGAGGCGGACGGGGGTTGTGAGGCAGCGCTGGGATTGTTTGGCGGCGGAGCGGAGGGTTTCTTGGGATAGGAGCTTTTGGGCGGTCTCCGGGAGTAGGGTAGTCGCCATTTCCGGTATGGCGGAGGAGATGAGGAGATCGATCGAGACTCGAGAGGGCTAGGATGGTTGAGTTTTGTTAACTTTCATCGGGGGTTTATGCGATTTTCAGGGTTTTAGCGGTTTGGGCTTGATTGGGTGGGGCTGTGTTTACAGGTGGAATGGGCTTTTCTGGATCTTAAACAAGGGCCTAGTGCTGATTAAGTATGACTAATACATTGCGGCAGTGTTTACTTTTTTGAAAAGAATTAAGGCGGTGTTTCCCTAATTGTTTATGTATGAGACAAACAATCATTCTTCTGTAATAATATCTGGTTTATTTGACTAACAAATCCGGGAAAAATTGGTTTTCTTTCCCTAGTTGATTAAAATTGTCTACTAATTAAATCTCAAATCCAATAGGATTTGGACAAAATCTTAATTGGGATTTCCAGTTCTAGTAGAATTTGGTATCAATTAAAACTTTAGAGAGAGAGAATGTGTGTTTTCTCAATTACTATTTTTACGTGCCAGACCCTGGTAGATGATGGCACTGGTTTTAGTTGGAGCGGCTGCGCTAGAAGCACTTTTTAGAGAATACCATAACGTGGAATTGTGTTACGAAATCTACCGACACGACTGCTGTGCACCATAAACTCTTCCTCGGAGATCTCAAGTTGACAATACAATGTTTATGACCACAACTTATCCAAAAGATAGAAGAAGACGACGAATTACAAAGTCTACAAAGACAAATGGAGAAGTTTAGAGAGCTCGTTAGGAAGATACCGAAAGCTGGTAGGTGCACGATTGTTGATTTGGATTTGTCTCTTTGGAAGGTTGTTGGATAGACTGAAATCCCAAGAAAGAATGGCTGGGCAAGAAGACTTTCTTTTGGCTAGGAAGACCAGTAACAAGCTTGATGAATTGATAGAAAGAAAGCAGCAGTTAGGAAGGATGTGGGAGTAGAGTTTTTGGTAGTACAGTGACGGATGTGCACAAGCGAATTGAAGGGAATGGTGTGCAAAAGGCTGCCCTAGCGCAAGTGTTATACGAGCTCAGGACAAGACTAAGATGTTTGAGCGCATCCTCGGATACCTCGAATATGTTGGAATTTAGGATTATTTTATGATTTGAATTTGGGCTTAGCCAGTTAGAATTAGGGTTTTCATTTTCTTGTATGTTAGGGTTATGTTAGCTCTCTATATATGATGCTAAGTTGTTCACAATGTAGCATCTTGAGTTATGTAGTCGTCGTGACAATCTTTCATTCATTTAATAAAATTATTTTTGTTTATAGTTGGTTTTGTTAGTGTGAATGAATTCAATGGGTTTAGACCTAGTAGAGAGAGAGCTGAACAGAGAACAAGAATGAACAAATTGGAAACTGAATGGTTTTCTTTTCACACTCGCAAAAGTTGCAGAGAGAGATGTTTTCACTATAGGAAAAAAATAAGGAGCACACACCACTCGCTTTTACATAACCATTGGCCTTAACTTGGACCACACACACACTGCATTTTATCTTAGCCACTGATCTATCTAATTACATGGATCAACCAACACATGACACTCATGGCCTTTTACAAAAACAGAACTTTACACTTGGCATTATTTTGCACAAGTGGATACACCAATTTAAGAAATCTTATTCTAAACTTTTCAGCTCAACACTTATAATTCAACACTCCCCTTTAAGTTTTGAGCTGATTTCACACCAAACATATCCCTGAGATAGTTGAATTGATCCTTTGTTAAAGCCTTAGTGAATATGTCTGCCACCTGGTCATTTGTTGGACTATACACTAAATCGATTATCCCTTCCTGGAGTGCACTCTTGATGAAATGATACCTTCTGTCAATGTGCTTGGTTTTCTGATGAAAAACTGGATTTTTAGTGATTGCAATTGCAGTTGTATTGTCACAGTGCATTGGAGTTGCTTCAGTTTGCATCTCACCAAAATCTTCAAGTACAGATCTACGCCAAATGACTTGAGCAGTTGCTTCAGAGGCACTAATGTACTCTGCTTCTGTAGTAGAGAGTGCTACACAATTTTGCTTCACAGAGGCCCATGAGAACACTTCATTGCCAAAAGAAAATGCATAACCAGAAGTGCTTTTGCTGTCATCAACAGATCCTCCCCAATCACTATCATAGAATCCGATTAACATTGCATTCTTTCCTTTTACATACTCCAGACCATAATCTAATGTTCCCTTGATGTATCTAAGCACCCTTTTGGCTATTCCAAAGTGTTTGTTTGTAGGACAGTGCATGAATCGGGCTAGAAGGCTTGTAGCATACATTATATTTGGTCGAGTAGCTGTGAGATACAACAAACTTCCCACAATTCTTCGATATTGTTCCTCACTTGTTGAACCACTGCCATCATCTTTGCATAGCTTCTCTGATGAAACAAGAGGTGTGAACACAGATTTACACTCATTCAAACCAAACTTATCCAACAAGGAAGCTGCATACTTTCTTTGATGGATAAATATACTTGTGTGAGTTTGAATGACACCCATACCAAGAAAATGGTGAAGAAGTCCCAAATCTGTCATCTCATATTTTATCATCATGTCTTCCTTGAACTCCTTCAACATCCCATTGCTATTTCCAGTATACATTATGTCATCCACATAAATTGAAACAATTAGAATTTCTCCTCCCCTTGCTTTGATGTAAAGAGTAGCTTCACTTTGACTTTTCACAAATCCACAGTGAGCAAAGTAGGTATCAATTTCACTATACCAGGCCCTTGGTGCCTGTTTTAGACCATACAAAGCTTTATGAAGCTTGTACACCTTGTCTTCACTCCCCTTGATCACAAACCCATCTGGTTGTTCTACATAAACCTCTTCTTCGAGTACTCCATTCAGAAAAGCAGATTTCACATCTAGTTGGTATAATTTCCAACTTTTCTGAGCTGCCAAAGCAATTAGAGTCCGAATTGTATCAAGTCTAGCTACAGGTGCAAACGTTTCATTGTAATCAACACCTGGTTTCTGAGCATATCCCTTGGCTACCAACCTTGCCTTATGCTTTTGCACTGTCCTATCAAGATTAAGCTTGGTCTTGAACACCCACTTAACCCCAATTATAGGTTTATCACTTGGTCTGTTCACTAGATCCCATGTTGCATTCTTCTCAATCATTGACAATTCATCTTTCATAGCCTTCATCCATGATTCATCTTTAGCTGCCTCTTCAAACTTTTCAGGTTCCATAATGCAAATATTGCATTGTGCTAGAACATCATCTAGATTCCTCCATCTCAATGGAGTATGATCAAAAGCTTGAGTCTTTCTTATGCTGCTGTTCACATCACTTACAGATTCATGAAAAGATACCAGACTTGGTGACAAAGCATAGTCATTACCTTCTGGAGTTGTCCCTGATGAAGTACATTTAGGCATCTCAGATAACTCATTATGATTCAACACAGTTACATAATTCTCAGAAGCTTTCTTCCATTCCCAGGCTGCATTTTCATTAAACACTACATCTCTTGAGAGTATAAGCTTTTTACTAAGAGGGTCATACACTCTGTACCCCTTTTCACAGGTTGCATAACCTACAAATATGCCCTTGACACTCTTTGCATCTAGTTTCTGTCTCAACTCACTTGGTGTGTGTACATAACACAAACAACCAAAGATTTTAAGATGTGCAATTCCAGGTTTTCGACCATTGAATGCTTCAAATGGAGTTACTTCTCCAAGAGCTCTTGTAGGACATCTATTTAGTATGTAGACAGCTGTGAGTACAGATTCTGCCCATAAATAGTAAGGTAATCCTTTGTCATGAAGCATAGCTTTTGCCATTTCAACTACAGCTCTGTTCTTCCTCTCTACCACTCCATTCTGTTGTGGAGTATAAGCCATAGAAAACTATCTTTGAATCCCTGCATCTTCACACATTTTATTGAATTCACTGGATGTGAATTCACCCCCTCTATCACTTCTCAGACATTTTACTTTAAAACCACTTTGTAACTCCACCATGGATTTGAATTTTCTAAAATAGATCAATGCATCTAACTTGTATTTCAGAAAATAAACCCACATCATTCTTGTACAGTCATCTACAAGAAGCATAAAATATTTGTTACCCGCAAGAGAGTCATTTTGCATAGGACCATAAAGATCTACATGCACCAGCTCTAGAGGTTTGCTTACTCTCCATGCCTGATTCTTTGGAAACCACTCTTTATGCTGTTTCCCAAACTGACAACCTTCACAAACTTCATCCACTTCTTCTAAAACTGGAAGACCATGCACCATTTCTTTGTTCTTAAGCTATTGAAGACTTCTAAAATGTAGATGACCTAGTCTCTTGTGCCATATCCAAGTAGACTTAGAAATACTTGCTCTTAGTACAACCTGATCATTTGGTATCAGTGTCAAAGGATAACACCTGTTCTTTTTCATTTCAACTTTGAGTACCAGACAATCCAATGAAGGACCATCAAAGATGCTACACATCTTTCCCCTAAATACCAGGTAGTAACCGTGTTCATCCATCTGACCCATACTTAGCAAGTTTTCCTTCAACCCAGGTAAGTACATTACTTCTTTGACATATTTTCTACCTTTGCTTGTGTCTATCACAAGTGTACCAAAACCTGCCATATTCATGAGTTCTTCTGTGGGCATTTGAACTTTGCCAACCACATTTGTCTTCATGTCTATCAACAACTTTGAATCCCCTGTCATATGGATGTTACAACCACTGTCAACATACCATTCTCCATTCACTTTTGATTTAGTGATTGTGCTATTTGCATAAAACAGGTTCTCTGTTACCTCTACTTGATTAGCACTGTTTGCCTTTTGCACTGATTTGCCTACTATGCACTCTCTAGCCCAGTGTCCAAACTTTTCACAGTTATAGCATTTAGGTTTCCCTTTATATCTACATTCTCCAAAGTGAAACTTAAAGCATACCCTGCATTGTGGTTTTGTAATATCTGACCCATTGATTGTGCATTATGTGCAGAATTAGCAGGAAATTTCTGCTGAAACTTGGGTTTTGAACGCCATTTCTTGCCCTTATTATTCCAATTCTTCTGGAACTGAGATGAACCAGATTGAACTGCGCCCCTATTTTGC